ACTGTCTGATAGCAGAATTAGCATTACATTTTCTGGTAGCTTACTAGCATGCAAATGGTGAAATTGGCTTAGAGCAAGAGAAGCAATGACGCACTGGGATAACAAATGGAAACTAGTGCTTGGACTGAATATGCAGCTGACAGTAGGAAGTGGTGACAATAACCAAGGTTTTGTAACATCGAAGTTGCTACCTTCTATGTAGCTTCCACTGATCATTGCCACGAAGAAAGGTGGACTAGCTTTGCCTGGCTTTTTAACCTTTCACATATGCCTCCAAAATCCTTGGAAATCAGGATTTTTATGGAAGCTTCCAATTTACCAAAACATTTGCCCTCTGAAATGTCTGGCTTACAGGATCAAAGGTGACCCACCCTGCTTGTAATTCTCATCTCTCACTCATCATCTCTCCTCATCTCCTTCATTATAACCACATAAAACACTATGTAATTCCCAGAAATGACCCAACTCTTTCAAGACTGCTTCTTCAGATGCTATCTTCTGTTCCTTGTTGGTCATTTCCTGTTTGTTCATCCTCTAGGAGGTTACTTAAATGTTATGACAGCTCTTTGTCTTAACTGATGCTTTGTCTCTAGATCTAGTGAAGGGAGAGCATTACCAAGAGACGAGGATAACGTGAGAGGGTCCCAGGTCTATTCCCTCCCTGGCAAGACATTTAGCGGAAAAAAAAAAAAAATCAGGTTCTTAACAGACTTAGGAGTGGAGTGCGATCTCCGTCATATGTCCTTACTGTACTCTGCTCCAGGGGCCTATTTTCTATATCTGTGAAGTTAGAAATCTAGCTCTATTTATTGAGTAAAGCTAAAGTCATTTACATATATTCTCACCTATACCCTCCATAGCCAATCTCCAGGCCAATTTTACCAAGTTTTCAAATGAGGGAACAGGGGTTTTATGAAGTTAAATGGCTTGCCCAAAGTCCCATGGCTAGTAAGTAGCAGTGCTGAGCTTTGAATCTTGACCTTCTAACCCCAGATAAATTTCTACAGAGTGTGTTGTGATCCAAGATTGGCCCAGCACCTATCAGGGGCCTTGCAAGAAGGAGAAGGAGTAGGCTTTATTCTTCTGACTGGATATAAGGTTGGAGATGTGGTCTGCCCAGGATTGTTTTGGCCCTGATAAAGATGTTTATGGACGGGCTCATGTCCTATAGTTATCACATTTCATGAACAACAAAACCACATAATAATAAAAAATAGAACAAAAGGCTACCATGAATCCCCAAACTTGAAGTATAATGATTCTGTTCCATTAACCCTAATTTACACTCCTAGGAAGTCAGCTTTATAGGAATCTCTACCCTTCAGCAATGCCCCATGAAATCTTGTCTCTGGCAGACTTTCTTTATGCTTGGAGCCCAATGTTTTAGTCCTGGCTGTGTTCTCTGTAGTTCATGTCCTTGTCAAGATTTTCATTCACACTTACTTATGATAGTTCTAGGTTAAGTCCCAGTGATTTTGTGAGAAATCCAGTTTCTTCAGATAATCCTTGTCCTAAGTACAGATGAGAGTAGTGGAGAATCTCTTGACTCTGGTCATTACAGAACCTTTCATTTTCTTTGTTTTTTTTTTTTTTTTTTTTCTTAAGATTTACTTATTTGAAAGGTAGAGAGAGAAAGAGAGAGAGAGAGAGATAGAGATAGATTGATCTCCCATCTCCTAGTTCATTCCCCAAACGGCCCCAACAGCCAGGTCTGGGCCAGGCTGAAGCCAGGAGCCAGGAGCTCCATCCTGGTCTCCCATGTGAGTAGAATGAGCCCAACCATTTTCTTCTGCCTTCCCAGGTGTACCTAGGAAGCTGGATCAGAAGTGGAGCAGCTGGGAGTTGAATCAGCACTCTGATAAGCGATGCTGGTGTCACAACACTGGCCTTTGGCCCTTTCATTTTCTCAGTCAATATACGAAACGTGTGATTTCCAGGCACTGGACTTGATGTTGGAGATATGAAAGATCTGCTGCCTTTGAGGCTCTCAGAGTCTGTCTGGGAGGCAGACATGGAAATAAGAAGTTACAAAACACTTTGACAAGTGTTTAGGCCCAGCACAGGCACAAAGGAGAGACATCAATGCTTCTTCTCAGGGGCCAGATCCAAATGGAGGAGGGGCTGCACCATGGTGGCACTGAGGGCCCCAACATTCAGATTTTTTTTTTTTTTGGAAATACACCATCGTTCTCATGGATCACAAATAAAGGTAAAGTTAACGGCTCTGCAGGTTTGTGGAAGGCCAGCAAGTATTCCTCAAATTATCTGATCATAGGTGGCTTCAGTAGAAATAAATATAACCTGAAACAAACATCTCTTTTTCTTATTAAAGCTACTTAATTTTTCCCAGTCTGCCTTAACAAAGGGGCCTGTGGTTTTAAATATGCAGAATCATACTACCTAGTGAAAAAGGGTCATGACAAAGCCTTGGGAAGTTAACAGGGAAGATTCCAGCCACAGCAATCATACTCCTTCTATAAGGCTGAGTCATCACTTCAAACTAGACCATGGGTCATGAAGCATCTCCCCCTCCTGTCTTTCCATAGCTAAAATTTTCCAAGTACGTTTCCATTACAAATAAGAATTAGCCTTGGAAAGGAAGTATTCTATTTTGGTCTGAGTCTCTTTGGAACTGAGGTCTAGGAAAAAAAAAAATAAAGCTGAGTGGTATAGCCTTAATCACAGCCAGGCCTGACAGTGGCCACCACTTCTCTTCCACTGAGGCCACAATGTCCCTAAAGACTGAAATGTGAGAAGAGATGCTTCCAGGGCTTCTTGGACCTCTTTCTGGAGAGGTATGCAATGGCTCTCCTAAGCTGAGGACCACACAAAGGCTGGGTAGTTAAGAATTATGTTGGAGCATGAACAGAGGCCATGGGTTGTATTGAGAATCTGATAAAACTTCTGTCATGATAGCCACAGTATATGAAGACAAAGTCTAAGAGTGTTGGGGAAAGAAGGCTACAATTTTTTTTAAAATTTGCTTAACTGATAACACTTCCTACAATGCATTACTTCCTCAAATGTTAGGAGTCACACACAATGTGTTCATTCCCACGTGGAAAGCTGTTTGGGAGGCACTGGAACATTGTAGGACCATCATAACAAGACCAGAATGAATGGGGGAACCTCATGGGTTGGGACGAAGCTCCCTTGGGCTGGGCTAGGCCAGGAGAAGGAATTCTGGTTAGAAGAAGCTGTAAATATCAAGCATCAGGCCCAGAGACGAGAGAGAGAAAGAGTGAGCAAGTGTGCACACGAGAGAGAAAAGAAAATCAAGTTGATGCTGAGACAGTCTGGAAGAGATTCAGACACAAAGGGCAAGAGGGCTTGGGGTACAAGACTCAGCAAGGGCCAGGACGAAGTAAGAGCTTTTGAAATCCCTTTGTGATGGTGGTGGTGGTGGTGGTGGTGGTGGGGTACCAACTGAATTAAAGAAATCGTTAAATCCTCCTGGATTTATACAGCATTAGAATCCGGTAAATGTGTGAGAGCCTCAGGCCATCTAGGAAAGGTCCAGCTCAGCCTGCTCAGTTTGCAGACGAGGCTGCTGAGACCTGGAACTCACAGCCGTTTCGTGCCAGACAAGCTTCCCATTCTGAGTTCTGGGCTTTCTCTATGATTTCCCCACATTCCAGCTGATTAGTAAAACTTCATTCCACACATAATCAGCACTTCCCAGATGCCCAGTCTTGTGGTGGATGGTGGTAATCCAAAACTATAAATATGAATGAATATGACAGTCTAGTGGGCGAGACATAGAGCTTTGACCTTAATTCTGTTCCACCAGGTGAAAACTTCCAGTAAAATCTAACAGTGCATTTCACAACATTCATGGAAAATGGAATTGCAAGCTTGTTTTGATGCAAAAAAAATCGTTTATTTAAAGATTTTTTTATTTGAAAGTCAGAGTGACAGAAGGAGAGAGAAAGATCCCTGTCTCCCCCCACCCGGTTCACTCCCCAAATGGTTGCAATAGCTGTGTCTGGGTCAGGCCTAAGCCAGGAGCCAGGAACTCCAACCAGGTTTCCCGCATAGGTGCTAGGGCCCAAGTACTTGAACCCTCATCCACTGCCTTGCCAGGATGCACATTAGCCTGAAGCTGCATGGAAAGTGGAGTAACCTGGACTTGAACCGGCACTAGTTGTCATCTGTCAGCATCTCAAATGTGGTCTTAACCTACTGTACCACAATGCCACAGAAATCCATAATAAGTAAATAATAAAATCCATAATATGAGGGAAGGGGATTCAAAAAGATCTAGAAAAATGTGTTATGAAAAATCTGCATGGCTTCCAATTTTTTTGCACCGAAATAAGCTTCTCTTAATTCTGATGTTCCAGAACTTTTAAAAGTTTCCTTCTATATGAAAATGCTGAGAAAGTAGGAAACAAAATTGGGCATATGTTGTGACCTCATGCTGTTAAAAAAAAAAAGTACATAGAAACCCCAGACATGCAATGACTCACTATTGAGCCAAGCCTTATGGGACTTGCTAAGTAAGACTTGTATTGTGTATACTTGTGCCCTTATTTGTGCTAGAATTCCGCTGGAACGAGGTGAGAACGGACCTTAAAGGATACTCTCCCAAAGCAGAAAAAGCCAAAGGAAATCCTGTCTGAACTGAGGGATAGTGAAGTGCTCCCCCTGCAGGCGGCACACAAGGCTCCCGGCGCTGTCGCCCCCGGCAGTCCCGGTCCTCCCTTTGGTCCCCGCGCCTCAGGGCGGCCCTCGCACTTGGCACTGGCACTGTCCGGCAGGACACTGCGAAGTCCCAAAGTCTCTGGTGGGAGAGTGGCTTGGGAGAGACGCCCTCTGTTCAACATCAAGGCGGGTTGGGGTGGGAGTGGAGGAGACCCAGCAAACATCTGCGTATCCCACCCAACAGACACAATCGGATCTTTTGGATCCTGTTTAAGGGGCTCACACGGTTGCAAGGACAGAGAAGTCTGGTGAACCCACCCGCTCCTGCTGAATTAATTGCGTGTGGGGGCAGGGTGCTGGAGTGAGAGGTTGCGGGGTCCGCCCTGCACCTCCAAGCAAATCGCCCCTCCGCCCGCCCCTCCCTCTGCCTCCTCCTTCTCCCCTCTTCGCCCCCTCGCCGCAGCGTCCGCCCCGCGTCACCGCCCGCCCCCTCCCATCACCAGCGGCCGCAGCTCCTCTTCCCAGCCCCTGCGCTCAGTCGGCTCTGCGAGCTCCGTGGTGTCGGCTGTCCGCGGGGCTCGTGGCAGCAGCGTCCCCGCACCTGGAGCTCCGGGAGCCAGTCGGGCGGTGCCCCGGGAACCACAAGCCTCGCAGGTAAGGATGGAGCCCCTGGAAGCGTCCCTGTGAAACACGGGACCCAGCCAGGAGCGCTTCTCTGAAGGGCTCTAAAGAAAGAGGGATGAAACTTGGCACTTGGAGACCTCAAGGAAACTAAGGCCCCCTCCCACAGGCAGTTCTGCGCGCTTTCCTGTGAACACCAACCGTGTTTGCATTGGAATATACACGGAATTCTTTCTACTGAAGCAGTGCCACGGGGGACCCGCTTTCTTTTTATGATTATTAGCAGATGGCATTGCGAAAGGTGTCAAACCCATTCCTGGAAAGTCGACCGTGGGCTAGCTGAAGGCCTCTTTGGCAGGGTTTGCTGTGAAAGCCAGCCTCACCCTGGCCTCCCTCTTGCTTTTAGCCACTTGGCCCCACGGGTACGCAAAAGAATTGTGGAAAATAAGGAGATGAAAATAAGCCTTGCTTGCTTTGAAATACGCCAGGGGAAAACAAAAAGTGGGAAGGGGGGGGAAGAGGCAAAATATTGATTGCGAAGCTAGGTGATGGGCACATAAGGTGGCTACTTCTATTTTTGTGTACTCTTGAACTTTTCTATAATAAAAAGTTTTTGGAAAGTTGAGGAATCTTCCTGCCTGATTGTTCTGCTGTACTTGGATTTGAACAGAAGGTGCGTATCATTACCCCTGCTCCCCCCCCCAAACCCTCTGACTTCTGAAATTGATTCTCATTTTATCCCGTTTGTCTCTACAGACGATTATAAAGGTCATTTTTCTTGGAGAATTATAGCTGGAATCTGTTTTATCATTTAAAAGAGAGAATGCTGAAATCCTAGCCAAATAAGACAGTTAGTCTTGAATGTGGTGGCCAAATGTATGGAATTTCTCATTAGGAAGTATTAGAGGAATTCTTTAGTGTGCGAAGGGGGGAAGGTAGATACCCTCCCTGCTTTTCTGCCAGACAGCTGGGAAACCTGAATGCTTTTAAAAGTCATCTTCATGGTTTTGAACTTGAGATTGTTGAGCAATGCTCGGCACGTAGTATATGCTCATTCTTTTCATTCTATGTGAAATTAAACAATTGCTGGTGCAAGTTAGTTTTCCCTCCTAAGTTATTCATCTTCCTTGGACCAATGCTCAAATACCTGCCAGGAAGATTCCATTTTAACAGTAGGATCAGACTCTGGATTTCAGAGGAGCTGCCTCACCTGCAGCACTGGGTTAACTTTGCAGATGAGAAATCTGAGATGGAGATGTTAGGAAACAGCCAAGTCAAATTGCTGATACACAAATTACTATTCTATAATTTTAAAATAAAAAGTTTTAAAAAGCTTCATACAGGTAAAACTGATACATAATTGCCTGGAAAACACTGGCCATAAGATCCTCAAGTCTGAAAACAGCAAAGCTAACAGATTTGCAGAAATTCTTTGCTTTTGCAAAGTCAGGAGCCACGTGCCGCGCACTTCACCTATCAGTGTATGGAAGCACCAGCAGGGTCTCCTGGGCCTCCCTCAGTGCCATTCACCCCAAATTTGATTTACACACAGCACATCACCGCATAAATTGAGATGCACATACCCTGGAAAATAGCTAAAAAAACAAAAAGGCTTTATTTTTTATTGTGATGAGAAGCAGAAGTTGTGGCTTACTGTAAAATAATCAACTGTGTAACTCAATCATTTTCCTTTCCCTTGAGGATTGCCAAACTTTTAAAGCAGACCGTACTTCGTCTCCATTCCTGAGACTGAACTTGAAAACAGTGCTATGGTAATGATATTTTGAAGAGAAATTGGCAAATTGTCAATTAACTTTTTTTGGCCATTTATTCCCAACTGAGAATCAGCAGAGAGCTTATCCTTCAGTAATGAAATATAAGGTATTTGATAAACATATGTGAAATATTTGGCAGGTCCAAGATTTTCTTTAGTGTTGAAAAGAATTGCAGCACATTGGCTGGCTATTTCCCAGTGCTGCAGGTCATGCTGGAAGTGTGCTGGCACTGCAACTGTTTTTGGAAAACCAACTGCCAAAAAATTGTCTGGCTGTAGACAGCATGATCAGCTTCAGTTCATCAGAATGGGCTCTGTGGCATGTAGGTGGGTTTTCTAAATGTGATAAATTCCATATGTGACAACCATTTACTATAGTATTAGCCAGATCTACTTTTCCCCCTGCTGAATTCCACATGCTTTAAAAATTTCACAGCTCAGTCAATGTCAACGTAAACAGTTTAAATACCTGACTTCGATTTGCACATCACCAGGCCAGCTTCGCCATCTAGTGGTGACCACAGGGATAGCAAGCAAGTTCCTACCCTCAGGGGAATAGGCCTTGACTCCTTAAGGAGCTTAGAGGAGGAAATCACTTGCGTTTTCTCACTTGTGGTTTACTCCAGGATGTACAGATGAAAAAGATCCCAGAAACTCATAGTGCACCCCAACAGATAAGAGGGGCTAGCAGAGATTTTCCAATAAAAGGGGGCCTTCAAATGATGCACAATGTTAGGGTCTAAAAAAAGCCCACCGCCCGAGGAACGACTCCAAGAGACTTTTTCTCTCATGCAACCAGCAAAGGGTTAAATTTATTGATCCAACATGTTGGGGCCCTCTGACAAGGACAGAGGAGCAGTGAGGAACTACAGCATAGGGTTTATAAAGGCAAAAACCACAAAATCGGGAGGAGGGAGAGAATACACGGTTGCTAAGTGGTTGCTAAAATCTTACAATCAGCAATTATGATTTTAAGACATAGACAAATCACATCTTCATTAGCAGCCCAGGTAACCCAGGTGCAACCTTTCTACTTTTAAGCTTGAGCAATCATGCTAGGGGGTTTTTGTGCGTTGCCAAGGGTGAGGTAGTGCACTGCTATTGTCCGACTATTTGAGATCATAGTTTCAGACCAGAGTCCCCCGGGGGGGGGAGGTGCTTTCCCAGAATGCAGTCTCAAGTGCTCCAAAATGGAGTCCCTACTGTCAAGGTGCTACTTTACTCTGTCTTATTTTCACAGCTGTACCAGGAAGGTTTAAACCTGTAAGCTTAAGCTTAACTTTTGACACCCGTACATATACAATTTTAACTCTTCACACAACACTCAGTATGCATTTGTTGAGTAAACACATTCACCTATGCTGTTTGACCCTTGTCTTCTCTAGTGGTAGGCTCCACACCACCATCAAGTTTCAGCCCGATCTTCTCAGTTCTAAAACTTGGGAGCTTTACAGTTTTCCTTAAAGTGAAAACTCCCCATTTAGGTCTTAAGTCCCTTGGGCCAAACATTCTTTTGTAGTTTGTGTCCCACCCTACTACCTCTTTCTCTCTGAACATGCAGGGTGGGCAGTTTTACAAACTGCATTCTTGCCTTTGTCACTGTACCCTGTTACTATTGCTGCCGTAACAGTTACCAAAAGGTAGACGTTTACAACAACAGGAACCTGCTGCCTTACGCAGCTGCAGGTCAGAAATCTAAAGCGGGGTGGCAAGACCGTCTTCTCTGGGAGCTCCAGGAGAGAACGGGGTTCCTCACCTCAGAGTGGGTTCTAGAGGCTGCTCCTGTTCCTCGGGTCGGGACCCTGCGTGGTTTCGACCCTGCTTCCATCTCCACACCTTCTTCCCCCTCAGGGGTTGGCCCCTGTGCGTCTCCTTCTTGTAAGACCCCTGTGATCACACTCAACTCACCTGGATAATCCAGGCAGGGCCTCGCCTCAGTCACACCTGCAAAGTCTCTGTTACCAAGGAAACAGCCTATTCACAGGTGCTGGGGATGAGGGTGTGGAAGCCGTGATTTGGCAAAGCACCATGGGATTCACAGCAGTTAAGCAGCTGCTTAAATTTTATCTCCCACTGTTAGATATGAACTCATTCCTGCCATTTTTGACGAAGTAGTGTGCTCTGGGCATCTGTGTGTGTGTGTGTGTGTGTGTGTGTGTGTAACTTCTCTTACAAAATACTCCAACATATCCATACCCTTTGAGAAATGTGGAAAGTAATGTGTGGAGAGACTAGGTAACCTTGACAGGGTCACAGTGCTAGTAACTCACACGTGTTAAGTTGATTTGGTTTCAGAGCCCACTGCCTCCACAGCTACTGGAATCCCCAGACCTTACTCTCCATCTTTGCTTTGTCACAGACACTGTTATTTTCTCATCCCTTTGATGCCATACATTTTTTAAAAGATTTATTTATTAATTTGAAAGTCAGTTACACAGAGAGAGGAGAGGCAGGGAGAGAGTGAGGTCTTCCATTTGTTGATTCACTCCCCAGTTGGCTGCAATGGCTGGAGCTGAGCCGATCCAAAGCCAGGAGCCAGGAGCTTCTTCCAGGTCTCCTGTATGGGTGCAGGGGCCCAAGGACTTGGGCCATCTCCCACTGCTTTCCCAGGCCATTGCAGAGAGTGGGATCAGAAGTGGAGCAGCTGGGACTCAAACTAGTACCCACATGGGATGCCAGCACTGCAGACATTGGCTTTACCCGCTACATCACAGCACCAGCCCCCAAGTTTTAAAAAGTGGTTGTGCTGGGCCTCTGGCCTGGTGGTTAAGACACTGGTTAGGAGTCCCATGTTCCACGTTGGAGTTCCTGGGTTTGATCACTGGTTCCGTCTCCTGATTCCAGCATCCTGCTAATGTGGACCATGGGAGGCAGCAGTGATACCTCAAGTAGTTGGGTTCCTGCCACCCATGTGGGAGACCTAGATTGAGTTCCTGATTCTTGATGTTGGCCTTTGATTGTTGCAGGCATTCAAGGTACCAGAGGATGGATGCTTGCTCTGTTTGTCTCTTTGCCTCTCAAAAAAAGAAAAATTTTAAAACACAATAAAGTCGGCGCCGCGATTCACTAGGCTAATCCTCCGCCTTGCGGCGCCGGCACACTGGGTTCTAGTCCCGGTCGGGGCGCCGGATTCTGTCCCGGTCGCCCCTCTTCCAGGCCAGCTCTCTGCTGTGGCCAGGGAGTGCAGTGGAGGATGGCCCAACTGCTTGGGTCCTGCACCCCATGGGAGACCAGGAGAAGCACCTGGCTCCTGCCATCG